TCAAACGCCTTTGTATGGTCAACAAAGCACAAATAGACACTCTTTTCGCATTCCTTACATTAAGTCAGGTTCCATCTGACATCAACAGTGATGTTCCTGGTGCCACGGTCTCATCTAAATCCTGCTTGAACTTCTGGAAATTCTTTAGGTATATACTGTTCCAGCCAATTTTGAATGATCTTCAGTAGTATTTTGCTTGCATGCGTTATCAGTGATATTGTTTGATAATGTCTACATTCAGTTGGATTAGCCTTCTTGGTATCCCTTTGATTCCTGGTGACTTATTCTTTGGGAAGCATGAGCAATAGAATTTGAGAATTACTTCATAGATGAACAGGTCAAAGAACAGATATTTAATTCTATAAATAAGTGCAAAAATGGCAAGAAAGAAGACAATAACCAACGAATGGACTTGTCATTATCTACGTACATCTCCAAGAAGTTGTAAAGCTCTCTGCTGCTATGTGTCAAACCTGAAGAAGTGAGAGAGAAAAAGTGAAATCTGGCTTAGACATTTGGAAGCCATACTATATTTGAATATTGTCCTTTCTGCAAAATTATGTACTTCAGTAATCACCTCGTTCCCCTCCACAAGCATATTTTAGGACTCTTGAGAGGATTATTAATTTGTATTTATTAAAGAACTGTTGGCTTTCTTAAGTTTGGGAACTTTCTATGTGAATTTGATGAATAAAAAGAGGACTTTTTAATTCAAATATTATTCTACTGCTTTTGAGCCATTGACGGTAATATTGCATCATTTATTTCTGAACATTTCTCTATGGGTAAGAAAAGTAATAAAAAGACATGAGGAGGATTCTGGCAAAATGATTCTCACCTTGGTTGCAAATTACTGATGCCAAGGTTCCAGTTCTAGAATATAGCATGGACAATGGGAGAAGATAGTTGTTAATATGCAACCAAAGATAAGAAACTATGAACTTGGTGGTGAAGAGGAAGGTCTTCCATCAGGATGGTTTCTGATATTTCCAGTTAAATTTTACAGCTCTGATTCTGACTGTGCTTAAGCTCTGACATCGCTCATGCATAAATAACATTATTATGTGCCCATGAGTTTGTTCAAACTCCTAGGAACCCTGTGTAAAACACCGAAATCCTACCTTTTCCTCTCCACAGTCACTGCTGTGCTCAAGCCCGTTGGTATAGCCACTGTGTCAGGTTATCTTAGTGAAGGTCTTGTTTTCACTCTACCAAGCATGATGTCCATCTCCAGGGGCTCGTCCCCTTATAACATGTCCAGAGTAGAAGTGATCAGGTATCACTATTCTTCTACCTAAGGAGCATTCTGGCTGCACAGCTTCTATGGTATATTCCGTGTTCTTCACCAGTGCTGTAATGCAAATGTGTCATTTCTTTGGTCTTCCTTACTTATTGTCCAGCTTTTTAATGCATTATAAGGCTATCAAAAATATCTTAGGTAGGTCAGGTGCAACATAGTCCTCAAAGTGACATTTTTGCTTCTTAGCAGACTGATAAGGAGCTATGCTGTCAACCTAAAGGCATGCAATTCAAGTTCACCAGCTGCTCCATGGTAGAAAGATAGGCAATCTACTGCTTTGTGATTTATTAATTCTGAATACCCACTGACACCACATGACATAACTGCAACACTTTAAAAAGGTTTTTAGAGAATATTTTCCTAATACTGTAAGTCTTCTGATTTTTTTACTCCTGCTCCTGAGTTTTGATTGTGTATCTAATTAAAATAAATTTTAAGCAGTCTGTATATGAAGTTGCTTTTTGTTCCAGTTATGAAGACTTTTGTTTTCTTCATGCTGAAGTGTATTCCACACTGAAGCTTGTCCCTTGATTTTCATCAGTGCTTTCCACATTCAGCAAGCAAGGTTATGTCATCTCAGTGAATCTTCTTTAATCCTGATTCTGCCTGCTTTACATATGCTGAGGTGTTATGTTAAGTTTGAAGACTAAGGTGCATCTGACCCAAACCATGAGCTTTTTAATTACCTGCTATGCATCTGACAGTTGGACAGTGAATAAAGATGACAGAAGAAGAATTGATGCATTTGACTTGTGGTGTTGAAGAAAAGGGAGGAACATCCCATGGACTGCCGAGAGGAAAAACAAGTATGTCCTGGAAAAGGTGCAGCCAAGTGGAG